TGAAATGAGTACATGACTGTGTGAATGGCATAAATTAATATGTCAACGCTAAAATTTAAAGAAAACTATAAACAAGAGATGGATGTTATGGTTACACAAAGCCAGTAATTCAAAGGTGCTTTTTTAACCTAAAAACCACATTGAAAATTGTAAGTCTGAGATTCAAGAAAAATTGAGGGGCCTGGAATATATAAAACAATCTATTTATAAAGGTTCTATTTAAAGGCCAGTGAAAAGAGGCCATTTTAGGTCTCTGGGTTTTTAACACATTCATCACAGGGCCATAATTCCTATGTCTCGCTGCCAGGAGGCTTGAACCTCTAATTTTATTAGTAAACAGACCAATAAACATGATTAGATCCATTTGTATTACCAGTGGTACAAGCCACCCAGTGAGACAGTCATGCATGAACTACCAGTGGTTCAGACCAGCTGGAATGTGTTAAAATTTTAAAAAAAAATTTTTATTAGTTCATGTTTGCAGTACATGTGTAGATAACATATTTTAACTCTTTACTTTCCCTTCTGCTCTCCTCTCCTCATCTTTTGGTCCCCTTCCCATTTGCAAAAGATAGCCTACAGTGGTCCCATAAGACTACATCATCTAGTGACTTGGTACCATCTTAGTTTGTGTAAATATATTCTGTAATGTTTGTACACAGTGAAATCCTCTAATGATACATTTCTCAGAACATATCCCTGTAATTAAGTGAGGAATGACTGTATACCTAAAAGTAGAGTTCCTGGGTCATAAGGTAAATCCAACCAAAGTCATGAATATATGACATGCATTTTTTTAAAAGCTTGATTGTTTTAGCTTTTAATTATAGTCTGTGATACATTGTGAATTATTTTTTGTGTATAAGGGTACGGATCAAGGCTAAACCCTCTCCACAAGGATATCCAGTTAATCCAGACATTTTTTTTCTTGGTACCAGGAATTGAACTCAGGGCCTCGAGTTTGCAGGGCCTTACGCTTGCAAGGCTTGCAAGGCCCTTGTAGGGAAACTGAGCTACATCCCTGGCCCTCCAGACTATTTTTTTTTTTAAACACTACCTTTTATTTTCTGAACTGCAGTTGTGCCTTTATGTTAAATTAGGTGATTGTACTGTGTGGGTTTGCTTTTGGACTCGTCTTTCTGTACATTAATCTATTTATCAGTGTTTGTTTTAAAGAACATTGGGATCAGGCTAACTATATAGCTATAAAAGTTGTTTTGTGATACCAAGGATTAAACCTTGGGCCTCATCCTGAGCTATATCCCTAGCCCTTTTTATTTGTTATGATTTTTGTTTTGTTTTGTTTTGAGATAGGGTCTTGCTAAATTGCTCAGGCTGGCCTTAAATTTGCAGTCCTCCTGCCTCGCCTCCCTAGTAGTTGGAATTACTAGTGTGTGGTGCTGAACCTGGCTGCTTTAAAAGTTTTCTTACATAATATTACATTGTACTTAAAAGCATGCATATATATATATATATATATATTTTTTTTTTTTTTTTTGGTTCTGGGGATTGAACTCAGGACTTTGCACTTGTGAGGCAGGCATGGTGCCACTGAGCTAAACCCCTGGCCCCTCAAAGCATAAATTTAAAACAAAGGCTGGGGTAAAGCTTAGTGGTAGAGCACTTGCTTATCTACAGGCGTTGAGGTCTTGGGTTTTATCCCTAGCAACACACACACATATACACACACATGAGTGCAAAGAAAACAATATAATTATTACACCATAATTTAACTTTAAAAATTTTTTTTGACATGCAAGGTCCTAAGTTCGATCCTCAGTACCAAAAAAGATTGTTTTTCGGACATGTAGGGTTTTTTTTTCCTGTTTTATTTATTTATTTTTTTTGTTAGAGGCTTCCCTCCAGTGTCTGATCTTTATTCATTCATTTATGTATGAAGCAATAAAAAGTCAATTGGAAACTCTGCACACATGGGCTTTACTTTGAATGATTGGATGAGTCATTCTTTGGTAGCTTCCCAAGTATTAATATATGTAATTTTCTTCCTTGAAACTGTGTAGTTTTTCCACAGGAAAATTCTCCACTTTACTGCCATCAGAATCAATGCCAGTCTGTCTATCAGGTAGATTGTAATTTAACACTATTTTTTTTTTAAATTTCTTGGATCTCTGCTTCGATGAGGTCTTTTATAGTATCTTATCTCCATGAACCACTTTCACAAAGAATAGATTCTACAGGCCTGGGGATTTAGCTCAGTGGTTCCACCGCCTGCCTCACAAGCACAAGGACCCGAGTTCAATCCCTGGTACAAAACAAAAAAGATTCTGCTTCTCATTGTATGGTTGAATGACTGCTAATCCTGTGACTTTGAGCATGTCTTGAATGGGATCGTGGGATAGCGGTGTTCAATAGTCTATTAATGGCTCTTGGCTGCTGTGCTATTTGAGCTGTCCCTTTCAAACCTCTGACTTGTCTTTAATGCTACATTTTTCACTATTCACATTTGATCCACTGTAGGATTTGGTTTTTACTTGACCTAATTTATAAGCTAGAATGCTCATGTTACAAAGTTCAGTATCATACCTTAAATTTAAAACTCATTTGTATTTTTGTTTTGTTATGTAGTTTGCACTAGACCACATCAGTGTTAAGTAATCTTTTTAAATTTGGTTTGCCTCTTTACCAGCTTGAGAATAATTGATTCACACTGGGTGAAGTCTTGCTTTTCAAATACCAGCCCTAAGATCTTTGATCCAGCTCAGATGCTCTTTCTGTGACTTGCTGTTCTTTTACTGGGACGTTTTCCTGCTTAGAAGAAACTGAAAATAGAAACAGGTCTTCATTTGTCTAAGATGACAGTCTTGGGAATTCAGGGAAGGAGTATATGTGAGAGGGGGTCATGGTGGTTGGAGCACCTTTGGGGTTTATGCTTTTATTAGTGCTGCTGTGAACAGTGGATGAGATCTTTCCCCTAGATGTTACTCAATTCCTCAGACAGGAAGAAAAGCACCTATTAAACATAAGAGGGATGGTCTGGGTATTTAGCTCAGTGGTTCCGCCACCACCTGCCTCTCAAGTGCAAGGTCCCAAGTTCGATCCCTGGTACCAAAAATAAGAGGGAGGCATGATTGAAGGAAAGGACGTGTACCCTTGAAAGAGAGTTTCGAGGGCCCTAAGAAGAGAACTGCATATAATAATGAGGAATAGATACAAACATGTGGATCAAGAAAAGTCAGGAAGCTCGGTGTGTGACACATACCTGTAATCCAAGCAATCAGGAAGATGAGGCAGGAAGATCAGGAGTTCAAGCCCAGGCTGGGCTACATAGTGAGTCCCCATCTCAAGACAAGAAAAAAGAAAATGTTTGAAAGATGGAGGCCTGAAGTCCTAGTTTTAAACCCTTCATTCTTTTCTGTACTCACAGCTTGCTGTTCTTAGCACATTGTCTTTAGAGAAATGTAGGTCCAGATTTGTGCAGAATGAGACTGATCATTACTACAAACTCGTTAGACTGAACAGGTTAAGCTACATTTTTAATGAAATTAGGTCATATACATGATTTCCAGGGCAGAGTTCTACTTCTGTGATTTAAAAGTAAATAATGGAATGGTTGTATGGGGGGTTAATGAGACTGACTGATACTGTGTTAATCAGGGCTCACTAGAAGAAATAAAATGCGAATGCAGATATGGCCAGCATTTGCCTGTGTCCAGATTCAGGTGAGGGTGGTAGTTTTAATCACCATGAACCTTTTTTTTTTGGTACCGGGGATCGAACTCAGTTCCTTGTGCTTGTGCAGCAGGCGGTGAAACCACTGAGCTACATCCCCAGCCCATCACCATGAACCTTTGATTAGGGCAAGGGGAAAGGCTTCCTTGAACAGGGTGTGGTGCCATGTTGGCATAGACTAGAGATGAGAGAAGGAAAAGGACTCTAGTTCTTTTTTTAGTCCCTGTTTTGTTTTGTTTTAATTTTCCATTAAGCTTATTGGTACATTTTAGGTATTTAGTCCCTGTTAATGATAAGAGGCTCTAAAATGGGGGCCAGAATGCATCTGTGGCGAAAATAGAGACTCTCAAACTATCCTAATTCCATAATATAAACTTTCAATTTTTAATCTCTTCCTTCAAGCGATTCTCTCTACCCCCACTGCCTCCTGCTGGATTGAAGCCCCTATCCCAGCAATCTGTTTCACCTTTTCTAAAAATCATTGTCCCTTTGTATATCTTCTCAACCACTTGCCCAAGGGAAGGATTTGAGCCATATAGATACCTATTCCCTACTATTTAGCCCAGTGTCAGGGCACTAAGTCAGTACTGCATAAGTGCATGTTTGCTTAAATGTTACTCATAAGGGTTCATTAGCTTACTTTGTCATTGGTTCCCAGAACTGAAAACTGTAGAAGTAGTTTGGGTTAGGCTGGACTTCAGTCTTTGATTTATGAGCAGTTAAAAAACGATCTGGAATCCCATTTCTTTCCTTCTTTCTGCTGTGCCTTTGTGAAGTACCCATTTGTTGTTTTGGGGGTTTTTTGTACCGGGGCTCGAACTCAGGACCTTGTGCTTACAAGGCAGGCGCTGGAACTACTGAGCTAAATCCCTGGCCCCCCATTTCATTTTAAGGTGACAGAGTTGTAGATTGGTTGTCAGGAATTCTGTGGGCCACGTCTTTTCTGGACTTTGTGTGCACCTCTTTTAAGAGGAAAGAAAGATGGGTGGGAGTGTTAGGAGAGCTTTTTACTGATTGAACCATTTCAGAACCAATCCTAGTTGTCAGAGGATGCCACTTGTGATTGGCTTAGTCCTGGATTCCTTGAATTAATCATAATGAAAAAGGAGAGGTAGTGATCTAGATTGGTTTATACAGACAGGGCTCGCCCTGGAGCTGGGGTGTAATGAGCTACAGGAAGAATAAATGCATACCTAACTGGAAATGTGACTACTGTTAGGAAGGGAAAATATGGATGTTTTGTGGGCAACCAACAAATTCCACCATTAATTTTCATGTCGATTTTCTAGAGAACCTTATGACTATTCTTTCATATAAAGTCACTTAGGAATTTTTTGATTGTATACTATGAAAAAGAAGAGTGAAATTATGTGAGTGTAAGACTTTTACTATGTAGTTGAGGATAGAAGACACTAAAATAGGTAAAAAGTTAAATATCAATGGAGGAGATAGGCAGCAGTATGACAAACATCATGTTGAGTGAGTCATATGTAGAGAGTATACTTTGTATTCCCCAGGAATGATTTATTTGCTTTTAATTTGGAAATCACTGTGCTGGGCACTGTGGGGATGAGAAGTGGTGGAAATAAGATGTTGGCCCTCAAAGCTTCGAGTCTAGTCTAGAGAATCGTTAACAGGCTTGGGCACTGGGAAGCATAGCCTTCCTCATGGAAGCAAACTGCTGAGGACTGGACCCTATAAATATAAGTGAAGGTTTCTACTGAGCTCTGCAGAGTCCTAGAAGCCTGGATGGTTGGAGGAGATGCTCAGCATTCTCCAGTGGCAGGTCTGCCCAGCTACTCAGAGAAATGGGTCCAGGGAGAGCAACCAGATCACCCTGGTTCCCAAAGCAGTGCTTACAGACTGGATTGGTCACAGGTATGTGTCTTTGAATATGTAGGTGTGCATGTGTGTAGTCCCATGTCACGGCTAGCAATGCTCCTGGTCAGAAGTCCCTACTGTGACCCATCCCAGTATATTGGAAGGTTTCTAGTGCTGGATCAATTTTGACCAATTGGATTCATAGTACTATTAGACTGTCATCTTAAAACTCTCTGGTCACATTTATGGAATATCAGGGAACTTAAAAAAAACAAAATATCTTGTTATTCATTCAACATATCTATTAGGGGCCTGCCTTGTGCAGGCACAATGCAAGGCCCTAGGGACATAGAAGTGATCAAAACTGTCTAATAGAGGAGACAAGCAATAGGCAAATAAGCAGATACATGAGATAATTGCCAATTGTGGCAATGATGAGAAAAAAAACCAAAATGGGCAGATCTAGAGATTACAGGAGTCCTAAGACACATTTAAGGCATTTTGTAAATGAACTTGTGAATTGGAAATTTTTGCCCTGATGATTTCAATAAGTTAACACGTTCCCACCAGCTTGAACTACTGGTGATACGTGTGTGACTGTTCCATCAGGTGCTATGGGACAGTCCCATCAGGTGGTACAGGCCTTCCAGTGGGACAGTCATGCATGTATGGCCCCATCATGAATGAGTTAAATGCAAATAATTTTCTTTTTTGCAAATAATTTTCATTCTTTTTATCTCTTATGTGTGCCCTTCGCAGGTCCATGATGAATCCACAGAACCCTCCACCATATCCGGGCCCAGGCCCAGGCCCAACAGCCCCATACCCACCTTATCCACAACCAGCAAGTGGGCCAATGGGGGGCCCCTACCCACCTCCTCAGGGGTACCCCTACCAAGGATACCCACAGTACGGCTGGCAAGGTGGACCTCAGGAGCCTCCTAAGACCACAGGTGGGTGTCTGTGAATGTGTAGATGAGTGTGTGCGTGGAGTTCCACGTCACCAGAGAAAATGTTTGCATGGTTTCTTTGGCAGAGAAGAACTGTTTAGCTTGTGGTTAATATTACTCGTGATGGCTGAGAGTGGCTTCCCACTCAAGAGACCCAAGTCAGTTCTCCAACTTCTTTCATCCTATCCCCTCTGGGACTGATGACTTCCTGGTTGACAGGTTCTCAGAGGGCCACCCCCTACAGCATTGGGCAGGGGTGGGAATACTAATTATGTTCCTTAGTTGGCAGCCAATTTTGCATTTCAGGTTTCACCTGTTGGGGTTATTTTATCTGTCAACTTGTTGACCCTCAAGTCATCCTTTTGGCCTGTTATGGGGAGTGGTTTTCTTTACTAAATATTTTCATAATTTAACCTGCTAATTGAGTTTTTGGTCATCTTCTGAGTCTTTCTTATGTGCTAGAACAGTGCTACTCAGAGTTCAGTCTTGAGAAAAATACCAGTCCACGAACAGTGCAGGGTTACTGGATGATGAAAAGTATAGAAAGTGAAAGTGAACATTTAGAAACTTTGAGCAGTTTGAAATTCCTCTGACATTCAACCAAGTAATCTTGCCTTTTACAAAAGGTGAAAGATTAAAAATAAAATATCTTGAGAAGCACTGTGCTAGATGTCTTTGTGACTATTTTATAACCCTTAGGTTTGTATAATAACTGCTCTCTTACAGTTCTTTCAGCTTTTTTTTTTTGGTACCAGTGATTGAACTTGGGACCTTGCACTTGCAAGGCAGGCAGTGGAACCACTGATCTAAATCCCCCACCCGCTCTTTCAGCTTTTTAAAACAGCTAATTCTGGTCTGGGGATTTAGCTCAGTGGTTCCAGCGCCTGCCTCCCAAGCGAAAGGTTTTGAGTTCAATCCCAGGTACCAAAAAAAAAAAAAACAACAAACAAAAAACACAGCTAATTCTTATCGAGTGCCTATTATTTGCTAATGCTCTCCTAAGAACCTTATGTACATATACATTTAATCCTTGTAACAATCCTATGAGCTTATTCCCATTTGAGGAAGAGGCTAAGAAAAAGATATAGTATTCAGTCGCTGAAACTCACTAAATTTGGTACTTGATGCATTTTGATAATGAAAATTTGTCCTGTTATTCCTTATTTATTTGGTACCTGATGCACAAGCTAGAACTTGTCAGTGTCAAGAGCCTGTGACTTGCTACCTTTTCCACCCAGAACAGTTTGCTTGGTACTCATTGCTGTCGATACTCATCATACCTCCCAAAATCAATTAATGAGGCATCACTATAGGCACCAAGGCATCACTGTACCTTAGGGCACATTCCCATAACCCATTTCCTTCAAACAGGCACCACCTCTTAATAGCCCAATCAACTATGCTCATCCATGGGTTAATCCGTTGCTAAGCTTAGTACTCTCATACTCCAGTCATTCCCCCAAAGCATATGAGTAACCAGACCTTCAACAAAATGATTGATTTCACAAAGGCAGTTGAAAGCTGTTCAACATTCTTTCCTACAGATAGACCTAGGAATTTCTCTCTCATTAGTTTGTGAGTTATAACTGCTTTATCCCATTCTGCACTTAAACATAGCAATTTCAGATGGTCAAATTTTCCTCTCATCTGGAGTCCAGGTTTTGTGAATGGGTCCTTTGCAGGGTGAAGCTCACTAAGAAATGACCCTTTTGGGTGAACCATTTTCTTTCTTGCTCTTGGGATTATTTGGGGATCTCCTATCAGAATCATGTATTCTCCTGCAGTGTATTTGAGCTCTGTTTGGAAATTTAAGTTTTTTGGGGTGTTTTTTTTTCTCCCAGTGCCAGGGATCGAACTCAGGACCTTGTGCTTGCCAGGCAGGCACAGCACCACTGAGCTATATCACCAACCCAGAAATTTAAATTTTTTCTCTTCAGGTGCTTCAGGTTCTTTAAGTTCTTTAGGTTCATCAGGTTCATCTACTGTTGCAGATTCTCCCTGCTAAAGTTCAAATTTGCAGTTGTTGCTGTTAATGGCTACACAGGTGAAAATGATTTATTTTTAAAAGAAGGGAGGATCTCTTTCAGCCTTTTTAAATGATGTCTGATAATTAGTAAGGGCTTAACAAACTGCATCAGTGGGTAGGTAGAGAAGATGGCTAATCTAAGGAGAACCTTCTTTAGTCATCTTTTTATTTTTTTATTTTTTTTATTTTTTTTATTTTTTGGTGCCGGGGATCCAACTCGGGTCCTTGCGCTTGCGCAGCAGGCAGCGAAATGACAGAGCTAAATCCCTGGCCCCCTAGTCATCTTTTTATGATGCAGAGTTCATTTTTCAGATATTGTAGCCACAAAAACAAAACAGAACCTTCCAATGGTCTTGGGTAACCATGTGATTGGAAGCAACAGATGCTCATGAGAGTAAGGCTTCCAAGAGGGCACACCTGTAGGTTATGTCAAGGATATCCTGGACAGTTTTTTTTGGTACCGGTGCTCAAACTCAGGACCTTGTACTTGCAAGGCAGGCTTCGGAACCACTGAGCTAAATCCCCAGTGAAACAATTTTGGATACATAGGTTTATAGCTCTCTAATTTTTTTTTTTTTTTTTGGTACCGGGGATTGAACTCGAGTACTTGCGCTTGCGCAGCAGGCAGCGAAACCACTGAGCTAAATCCCCGGCCCTCCTGGACAGTTTTTAATACTAATCACTATAACAACTAGTGTTCTGGACAATGTTTGGAATTAGCTTTATGCAATCCTCATAATAGCCCCATGATACAGAGTTAGAAGCTGGGGCCGGGGATTTAGCTGAGTGGTTCTGGCGCCTGCCTTGCAAGCGCAAGGTCCTGAGTTTGATCCCCGTACCAAAAAAACAAAAAACAGAGTTAGAAGCTAAGGGCTCAGCAAGATTGTGTTTCAGTTATCTTTTATATAACATATAACTCCAAAACTCAGGGGCTTAAAACAACAATGATTTATTTCTCATGATTCTCTGAGTTAGCAGGGAGGTTCTTCTGCTTCGCGTGATCTCTCCTGGGGCCAGTTGGGTGCCACGTTCAGCCCTTAATATTACAGCTCTGAGCTTTGAGTGCCTGTACCTCTTCAGCTCTTTGTTACAGCTCCTGGTGGCTCCCAGACACCCTTATCAGCTCCTCCAAACTCTGGGCTTGTGGTCCCTTTGGTAGCTTACTGGAGCTCCAGCAGCTTCCAGTGCCTCTCTGAGGCTCTCTGTACGTCACTTCAAGTCTCTACATATCACTACTGGTCTCCACCAGTCTGCACTGCACTTAGCTATTTCCTGTTCCACCACTCTCTGGAGCTCTTCAGGGATAATAGCCTTTAATGTTACAGCTCTTTCTTAGAGCAACCCACTTAGCTTGCTATAGTAGGCAGTAGAACCACTGGAATGAGGCTTTTACTGGGGCCTGTGTCCCACAGTGGGGAAGTGCATAGGAGGGAGCCCTCTTAGGCTTATCCCAGGACTATGTGGGAATCCTGCATATGAGAGAAGAGTGGACTATGCCTGTGCAGCTCCTTGTATTTTCCAGACCTATTTGGGGACTTGAAGTAATAGCTGAAGGGGCTGGGGTCATTTGAAGATACTGCCTGGCAGTCATCCAGAGTTGTTGCAGGGCAGAGTCATCTAGGGTAGGTCCATGTTTCAGGCTTGCTGTGGCCAAGGCACGTATCTCCCAGAGCATGGGGTATCCTGGACAGCCTCAGTTGTGATGGTAACAGCTTTGTCAAACTGTGGGAGAAGCAGTGGCTCTACTGAGTTTCTGTGAAAATGACAGGAGCTGAAATTGCATCTTCTGCTGCTTTTGAGGAGTCTCCAGGAGGGGTTGGAGTGTTGATCATAGGTCACTAGGATTTGAGGCCCCCAGTCCCTCACTGATCTTTGCCTTGTCAAGTGCAGTTCTCCACATCTCAGAGAGACGGCAGCAGTGGCCTAGAGGTGGGGGGAGGCAGGTTGTGTGTCAAAGTTGTCAGCCACGCTGGAGCTCCTGTCAGGGCTTCAGAAGCAACCTTGGAGGCAACCGCCCCAGGCCACCCTGGGGAGTTGAGGGGAAGGGACGCCATGGCTGTCAGTCAGATGATGCTCCCTCTGGCTATCAGAGGGAAAAAGGAAGAATTGAGCTTCATTTTTTATCTTGCTCTCAACAATTCACATCCCTCCCATGTGCAAAATATGCCCACTCCCAAGACTATCAGATATATCACCCAACTACATTGGCTTAAAATCCATCATTTAAGTCGTTTATCTGTAGATCAGATCTCTGACCTGCCATGCAGGTCTGTGCACCCTACCTTTGCTCTTCTCCTCCTTCACTCCCCACCCGTCATCCCCACTCTGGGTCACACATTTCTGGAGGTCAGAATAAAATAGCGTCTCCATGAAGCTTGTCCTTACCTGTGGCATACTCTTTTAGAATTTGCCCCTCCCATGTCCCTCACCTGTACCCAACACAGACTTCTTTCAAGGCACCACTTCTCTCTCCAGGTTCAGTTAGTTTCCATTTTATATTTGGTGTAGCTTCTTAATGTCTGTATTCAATCAGTCTTGTTCCTACTGTTGTGGTTTAGGCTTTCACCATTTTAAGGCTACAAGTGACAGAACCTCAGCCTTAAATATTTATTTTTATCTGAAAAAGCTTTATTCCTACTGTTGCTTAATATTGTACCTTTAAAAATATTAGGGCCAGGGATTTAGCTCAGTGGCACAGCGCCTGCCTGGGAAGTGCAAGGTCCTGAGTTCGATCCCTGGTACCAAAAAATATATATAAAATATGTATATATAAAATATATATATTATATGATCTCTTAAGATTTGATACATGCATATAACATAGTTGTATCTGGCCTCTTTATTGCCCTCCTTTACATCCTTGTTCACTTCCTCTTGCCTAATAGTATCCCTTCTACTTTCCTATTATCTTTCTTATTTTTTTAGATTCCACATATTAGGTGAAACGTGGTACTTGCCTTTCTAAATCTTGCTTAAT